ATAGTATTAAAATGATAAATAATAAAGCAATTAGTGATGAAAAGTAATAAGTAATAAAAGTAATAATAATTATTACTTATTACCGAGTAATAGTAATAAAAAGTAATAGTAATGTAGCAGCCCTAGTGAAAATCGCAAGATTTCAAAAAAAAGCCGGAACTTTTCCGCGTTTTGGTTTCAACACCTCAAACAAACGTTTTCGGATTCAGAATCGAAAACTCAATCCAAGAAACTAACTTCCAAGGTTTCAGAGCCGGAACTGGATTTTTGCTAGTGCCCGGCACGGCTCAAAAGCACCACACCAATTTTGCAGACCTAACACAGGATTTTATAGAGTGATAGACCCAATATATTTTACATGGCTAGATCCGCTAGATGCTCAGTTTTAAATTTAAGAATACTTTTCCAAAAATTCCTTTTCCGCTGTATGGCGCAAAGATCTCATCGAGGTCTCGACACTTTTTGGACTCGGATTCTCCACTGTGGATTTTCACGATTTATTACACTATATTCAACGGTAGACATCAACGACGTCACTTTTTTCCCATTCTCTTTTATTTTTCATTTTTCTTTGCTTTGATGTTTTTTCTTTCTATAGAGACAGATATAAAGCAAGACATGGAAAAAAGAATAAATTTTATCGTTTTAACGAAAGGATGGATTCTACTCAGTATGAAATTAGTGTATATTCTGACAACTTCCCAAATTAAAAAGTTAACAGATTTTTCATGAATCTTATAGTTCGAAGGAAAACTGATTTGGCTCAATACCGGACTAGGAATTTGAATTGAAAAGTTCTAAGCTATGAGTAACATCTTTCTATAGCCTCATCATACTCTTGTTACCGTCCATGTTACTAGGCCTTAATTGAATTTTTAGTTTGCACATGGCAACATTTATGAAAACGCTAGTTCCTCATGATAAATTTCTCTTCATTTTCAGAAAGAAATTCTATTGAAAAGTATAGAAGAAAATAAAAATGTTTTATCTAGACTTTGTGCTAAAATTAATTTTCTTTTATTCAATATTTCTGATTCAATACGTTGAAAACTGTTCTAATTTGGATGTCAGTGATGATTATTTTGATGAATCGCATTTGGAACAAGGTAAAGTGAAGATGAGAGATATTCTGTTGATATTTCTTTCATTTGTCACACGTGAAATGGCACAAGCAACATTAGATTATTGTGCTTATTCCGCCTTTACCATGATAACCAATGTGGCCATATTTAAAACGAGTTTAGGTGATGGTTTATCATCATTCGGGGCTGTAGCATGGGCAGGGTTTAATTTTGCTAAAACGGCTGTAATTGGTGCTGGTCATTTATTTAGTGGCCGATTTAAACGTGCCATACAAAATTATGTGGTGTCGGAATATCAAAAATTCAATATTATTTGTTCATTAAAACGGTTTATGGTTGCAGAAGAAGAATTCAGAAAGGCATACGATAAATATCTCACCGAGTAAGGATAGAAGATTGTAGTGTTATTAGTTTTAATGAGTTTACTCACAGTATCAATACGAGAAGGAGTTGAAAGGAAATCCCATGCAAAGTCCACTAACGAGGGAACCTTTCGAGGTGATTAAACGCTTTTCGCTCGGAATCTAGTGGATTATAGATTATCGCCCATGCTGATTACGAATATGACCATGGAAGTTGCCCTTAGCCCGTTAAAGACCTGGTTTTCTAGAAAACCAGTTTTTCCGAAACTCTAAAATAAAACTGGAACCTTTCTTAATGAGGCATGATTGTAGCCCACAGATTTCTGATGAAAATGAGACATCTCCCAGCTTCACATGACCTTTCTTTGCAAAGTTATAGAACCTACAAGAAAAGCCCTACATTAATTTCTTTTTATTTCTGTAGCCTTTAGCTGATAACGAACATTCAGGGCTTTTCTTGCAAATTCTATAACTGTGCAAAGAAAGGTCGTATAAAGCTGGGAGGAGTCTCGTTTCAATCAGAAATGTGCGGACTACAATCATGCTTCATTAAGAAAGGTTCCAGTTTATTTTCCAGTTTTATTTTAGAGTTTCTGAAAAACTATTTTTCGAGAAAACCAGGGCTTCGAAGGGCTAGGGCAATTCCCATGGTCATAGTCGTAATCGGCATGGTCGATAACCTATAACCCACTAGATTCCGAGCAAAAAGCGTTTAATCACCTCGAAAGGTTCCCTCGTAAGTAGTTCTATAAAAGCTATCCATGTTCAACTTCTCTGAAACTATCTGAGATCTAAAATACCACTTCTGAAACTAACCTTGCGTTGTTAGACGATAATAAAGGATTTTTATAATCGACTATAATAAATATCCTCGTGAGTATTTTTTGAATACTTATTTTCTTCTGTACAGCTCATGACCAATTTATTTTTTAAAAACTTATCGGTTCAGTTTTCTACGATGATCTATCAATAGAATTCTTATAAAGTGCCATAGTAAAAGATCTTACTGGTAGTACTATAATCAACTTGCAAACGAAAATAAGAATTCTTAAGAGTTTTACTCTTTAGGTCAGATGGTGTGAAAGGTATTAATTGATGATTTTGTACCTCTGGAAAAAGTGCGATCTTTTAGCTCTAATCAATATTTTTTATTACCAATTTCACTTTAAGAAAAGCGATTTATTCTATGTACCTACGGCTCAGAGGTTGACAAGTCCAAGTCCGGACCTGAAGGTTTTTGTAACGGACTTGGGCTTGGAGTTCTTTTATCAGGTCGGTTTGAAGCTCAATGGGTTGAAATCTTTTACATTCAACAACTAAATGAGTATAATCTAATACCCAATTTATTAATCTTTTTTTCACAAAGATGCATCAATTTATGGATAAAATTTATTTACCCCTCATATATGATTATGACGTACTGTACAGTGCAGTGCTATGAAGAACTTCGACTCGAACTTGAACTTCAATTGGACTTGACTTAGATTTGAAAATGGTTGGACTTTTCCACCTCTACTTTGTCGAAAATTTTATTATTTTAAGCCATAGTTTGTTTATGAAGACATTTCTGAGGTGTTTTTTGAAAAATGCCAGATTTAAGTCACTCATAAAGATCGTTATCGTATAAGTATTCGAACAGCTTGTAACGGACAGAGTTAGTCTGAGATTTGAGTCATCAACTAAAAATCATTCTCTCCCGCACGCGTTTCTTGGCTCATCAGGTATGTTCAATATACGTTTGTTGATAAAACCTGATTAAAAGGAAAACTATATCGATAAAGCAAATTGTCCAGATTTTCATACACATGTTTTATCACATACTGATCTTTTAAAAGAAGTTCATTATAGCAGAAAATATTCGCATGTGCATAAAACGTATATTTGCTAATAATTCGCTTAGTTACTAATACACAGTTTTCCGTACTTTTGTTTGTATTATTAAAATGAACAGTCTCGACTGTTCTTCCACATAGAAAAGTGAAACAAATCATTAGTCGTTTGAAAATATGTGATTTTACTACCCAAGCGTCAAAAAAAATCTAGTATCGCCCGATTCATCTAGATTACTAGATTTTTACTCGGTTGCAACTACTGTGTAACGACAGTGGAAATCTAGTAACTGGGCGACTGCTAGATTTTTTCTAGTTGCAACTATCGATTTATCGCCCGATAATCGATCGATGTAACTACTGCTAGTTGCACGTGCAGACGCATCTAGTTAAAAGTCCCTTTTCCAACTAGTAATCTAGATGGCAACTAGTCGTG